TTTGTGCTGGGACAGGAGTTTGAGTTGGAAGTTATGGCTGAGAGTCCAGAATATTTCACTCAACCACAAGCAGGCAGGGCCGGATTTACGCATAGGCATTCTAGGCACGTGCCTATACTTGCTCGTCCAGGGGGGGGCCCAAACACAATGAAGATATATATAATATTTTTGTTATACTATGGGATATCTACAACAGTAAGAGAAACAAAACCCCAGAAAACATTGAGCAAATAAATATAACAAACAATAGAGTAAAAATGACAAACTATTTCCATGTCTTCAGCTTTTTTTATGTACGTAAATCACGCTTTTTTTCTCCCGCTCTCTCTCACGCACACACATAGACACGCACTCGCACACACACGTGGAGACGCGGACAGAAACTTGTCATCAGCGCTGTGACTGCCCCACGAATTTATCAATAAAAGAGTTTCGCAGCTGAAAAGCTACATGACATTTCTCAGTAGCGAGGTTCTTGAAGCAGTTCAACTTAAAGATTCTCTATTAGTAGATGCTGCTGCCGAATACTGCTGAGAGATGCACAGACGCATGTATTCACACGCGCTTAATCTCTCCCTCTCTCTTTCGCTCTCTCTCTCTAATAACCGCATTAGACTGCATTAATAACTGCGTTAGCCTGCTGCATATCAATGGCTCAAGCCTCTGTTATTAGCTCTAAAATTACGTTTTGGAATTTGCAACGAAAGGTTTGGGATGAGGTGTGTAAAAAATTAGCTAGTTCAACACCCACGAGATTTCAGGACGGAAACATGTCAAATGTCTTGAAACAAATCATCTGAACAATTGATGTGTGATTGTGACTCCAGGCCTTTAAAATTATTAGAGAAATAATGCACTCCCGAAGTGGTTATGTGGCCACTGGCCGCGCCTATTAATGGAATGAAATGCAATTTGTTTGAATTCTCAAACAAATTAAGAACCTACATTCGATTTTTATTGACTGAAAGCAAGCGCTTACTGCGATAGAAAACACTGTAACGTTTCCACTGATTAAGAAATATTTTTGTTTGCTTGGGTGGTAATATTAGGCCTATTATATTAATAGGGAAGGGGGGAAGGTAGAAAACATGATCTGATGGACCCTCCAGAGCAAAACGGCCAATGTGATTGAGTGGATGGACGGACACACCGACTGCATTAAATAGAAAGTGATACATTCAGAATTCGAGAGGCTTGTTTGGACATAATAGATGCTTAATTATCCTCAAAGACAGTACAATGCTGCTTTTCATCAGTCCAGCTAATTCTGGCTGCTTTGAGTCTTGCGTCTTACAGAGACCATCCTCTCTTTCAACAGGAGAACAGCTTTTGTTACCGTTAATTGCTTTTCCTGCTAACAGAACTCTGAACCAGGATGTCGTGTTATTGACAAAAAAGTCACTCCCACACTGACAATGGTGCTGAGTTGTTAGTAAATGTGTCTGTAGGAAGCTGGCTGATGTGTGAATGTGAGTTCTGTAATCTGTGTGGGTCCATATGTGAGTGTACGTCTCTGTGTGAGCTGCTGCTTCAGTCCTTTTGCCTTCATATCCATGGAGCGTTCAGGAAGAATGGCATCCCGCGGCGATGATTCCATTCTCTTCAGACAGTATGCTCCTATTATCTCACAGCACGCGGGCGAATCATTGCCATGGAGATCACAAGCAGAGGATAAAGAGCACACTCACGCAGCCAGAGTCACAAACACAAAACACATACCATATAAGCAGATCTGTGTACATGGCGAAACCCTCATTTGAGATGATCCAGTCAAATGTGAGATTGAAAAAGCTCTTTTATTGGGGAAAACACACTTCAGTTGCTTTTTACCTACCATTTGTGGTGTTAGTGGAAACAAACGTCCCACCGTTGTCAGTGCTGTGGGGTCTTCGTGTTTTTTCAGTTTTGAATGCTGACATGTTGAGAAGCAGAAGAGCAAAAGAGTGGTGTTTTAATACACACATTTGATAATGTACACCGTGTGTACACAGCTGAGGAGAGACAGAGAGAAAACACAGATGTGAGGACTGTGAGTCTCTGGAGCGGATACCAGCAGGACCGACGGACACATTCAAAGACACACGTCAACTCTCTTTCTTTTGAGTGTGAGTGGATGTTAGTCAGGGTTGCGAATGTTCTTGTGTGTTTGTGAGTGTCATTTTGGATGTTTATGTTTGATGATTCACCGCAACAAGCAAGTACAGTGGCGGTGCTTTCGGTGCCAAGAACGTCATTATCATAATCCCAAGAAAATCACTATGTATTCTCCCGTTGCAGTAGCTGTTACATCATACTTCTGTGTGATGTGTTTATTTAAGTGCTGTTGTTACATTATAATCTGGTGGCAGTGATAGCAGAGAACCATGCAGTCCTTCAACATTATGACCTTTTGTGTTTGCACGAGCCAAGTCTACGACATTTTAATGCCAGTCCGTTGTCAATGAAGCTCTAATTAATCATTCTGAATGATCATCCTTATCAGCTCCAGCCATTCATCTTTAATTGGGAATTTGAAATACTAAAAGGGCAAAGTAACGCCTCAGCATAGATGGCTCGATTACTGTCCTGCCCTTTGATAACAGTACTTATGACAGAAACTGAAAACTGCAGTTTTGCTCTGCAACAGCTGATTATTCTGTGTTTTTCAGAATGCGTGGTCTGTTCTCCACCATCATCGTGGTGCTAGTGGCCTTAATGATCGTGACCACAGAGGCTGGGAAAAACAAGAAAGGTATAAAATATTGGTCTCTTCCAATATTCTCACATCTCTCCCCTCTTTCCTTTCTTCCATTATTTCAGCTCTCATATAGAATTATATCCTGTGATGTCTTGCTTTGAATCTTAAGGCTGGAATACACTACTTTTTGGACAGATTTTGCCCCAGTTTGCAGGCTGGACAAGTCAGTGCTAGTTGCTGAAAATCTGAGCCACTCTGCAAATTTTGGGCATTTTATAGAAAATGGCATAGTTTATGATGGGCACAGGCTCCAATTTTTAGCATCAGACTGTGATTTCATCCAGCCAAAGGATTTCAAACATGTTATTTTTATTTGTTATTCAAGCATGATATTTTAGAATGCATATTTATTGCTTTCATTTGTCATACTTCTATAAAAGAGGGGCGCATGTTTGCTGTCTTAGGAACGACTTGTTACAGTTGTTACTGTATAATTCCCATTTTTTTTTCCTGTAACCATTTACAAAGTTGACCAGTGTGATGCCTAGTGTTTTAAAACCTATTCTGATTATAAAAGTCGTGTAGTGTTAGTGTATTGTCTGGGCAGTTTTGCATGAGTTTATGTACATAAAGTAATGCTGCTGCCCGTGTGTCATGAGACAGAGAAGAATAAAGGAGGTAAGGGTGGTTCGGACTGTGCGGAGTGGCGTTATGGCAGTTGTGTGGCCAATAATGGGGACTGTGGCGCAGGCACAAGGGAAGGCACCTGCAATGAGCAGACCAAGAAAGTCAAATGCCGAGTGCCCTGCAACTGGAAGAAAAACTTTGGGGGTGAGTGAAACTGATAAATCAGCTGAAATCTTCTCATCATTTCTTATTATATTTAGCTATCGCTTTTATTTTTGGCATCTTTTATATTTAGTGTTTTTGTGCTGCTGTGTATTTCTGCTTTTTTCTGTACATTTCATATTATCTTACATAGTATATTGTAACTCATTTCATGCAGCCGACTGCAAGTATAAGTTTAGTAACTGGGGCGAGTGTGACGCAGCCACAAGCACAAAGAGCTGCACCGGCACTCTGGTAAAGGCTCTCTTCAGCGTCGACTGCCAGCAAACCATCTCTGTGTCCAAACCCTGCACCACCAAGGTCAAAAACAAACCCAAAGGTACATCCTCAACACTAAACCCAAAACTGACATTCAATGACGGAAGGCCTCTGCTCGATCGTTTTGTGCATGTTATGTTCAAATGTTAGTATTAAAAATAACATTCAACTAATAATAAATAATTATGACTAGTTTTTTTTTTTTATAAAATCTTCCTCAAACACACTTGGTTCAACAGGTGTTGTATGCAGTTGTTGGGTTTGGTTTGGCTGAATGGAAACAGTAACGCGTGTAATCTGCTCTGGTTGTGTAATCTTGGCCTGTTGGCCATGGTGGGTGTCTTGAGTGGGATTCTGAACTCAATAATGAATCTCTGCTCATACATAAGAGACCGATTTCTAAGTCAGTCCTTTCAAATCGTATGTTTGTGGTTAATATGCTTATCTGAATATGGATTCCAGCAATAATACGGTTGCATTATTTTAAAAGAGCATATGCATTTGCTAACCAGCGTGAGACGGGGAGGCGTCGTCAAGAGGTTCGGGTTTACCGCTGGATCTGAATAATGAGATTTTGTGTCAATCTCTCCACAGGAAAGAAAGGCAAGGGGAAAGCGAACTAAAAGAGCAAGAGATCCAGAGCAGCAGTAATCACCCTGTGATCATCCGTCATCCAAACACGGCCTTTTATATCTCTACTCAGTGTTCTTCAGCATGAGCGGGACTCGCACTACAGCCACAAACACATAGCTTTAGAAGACTATGACAGAGTAACAGCTGAGTATTTGACATTTTACATGACTGTTTCATGTGTGAGAGGGAGGGGAGAATAAAATGCCGTTGTTTAGCGTGTGGTGCCCTGTCATTGACCCATTCCTCTGATGTTTCCCTCCAGCACAGATCTCTCGCACTTGCTCTCTCTCTCTACTATCTATCAGCCATGTAAGCCTCAGGCCTCTCATTCGCTAAAGGACAACAATCAATAGAACTCAATCAGACACGTCTATATTATTACTGTTTTAATTCAAATTTGGTTTTGTAAAATTATGTAATTTACAGGATTATATTACTAGTGGGGTATACAAGTAGTGATTGGATAAGTTACCCTTCTCTTTTTTTGTATTCTAAAATATAAAACTGAGTGTTGTTTGAAATAAACGAGTTCCCTTTTTCTATAAAAGGTGTAGTTTATGTAAAAGCAAAAATACGCCAATACTGTTACTTTTCCTTTTGACTTGACTGTTACTAACAGATCCAAGGGTGACAGAGGGTTATGAGCATTAAACTGCATGGAGAAGAGACTGTTCCCTCTTGTGCAAACCTGTTTTATAAGCATTTAAGACAGTAAAATTTTGTTACTGAGTGTTGTGTGTAGTGTTAACTAAAGGTAAATGAGTGATGACAGTTCATTATTAAAGACAACTAAGCCCTCCAAATTTCTCATTATGCAAACCAATATGTGTGTTCATGAATATGCAAAGAATAAGCATCTGTCTCTCCTCCTGGTCAGTGCGCTTAAGAGCTTTATTAAGCTTTATGCAATAGAAAAAGAACCACACACTCTTATGTACACTGGCTCTTTAAGGGCAGTGGTAGATAAGTCAACAAATACAGTGTTCATTCCATCAGCTTCACTGGGGGTAATAATCATTGACTTTGCCCTTCAGCTGGTACAGTTAAATGGGGGATGTCTTTATTAATTCCTATACAATTTACATTTTATAAACATTTGAAGTGACCAAAGGAAAGAGAGCATAAAGTCATTTTGCTGTATTGGTCATCTAATAGAATTTTCAGAATTGCAGAAGACAATATTTAGTAACTGATCGGATTGCATGATTGAATTTCTTTAGTATAGTTACAAAAGGAGTTACAGTTTCATAACTCTCTTAGAGATACTGATATTCCAATGTGAAGTCTTCTTAGAGTTGCAGCACAGTTGGGGATGCTTTTATAAAAGCATGTATTTGAATGACTAAGATATGCAGTGAACAGCCTACTTCAACATACAGTCCATGTATCAGAAGAAGACCAAAGCAACTGGCAAGTTTAAAACATTCAGAAAAATGGAAATCTGGTTTTAAATTCTTTTTCAATGGCATACTAGTCACTTAGTCTGTCTTTACCACTCATTATAAAGAGATTCAGAGCTGGTTTGGAGATACAGATGCTATGAATGGAAATTTGATTATGAGGTAGAAACATGAAACCAAACCCAAGACGTTAAAGAGGCAAGTTTCTGCATCTTAAAATGATGCTAATGACTGAATAATCTCTCTTCCAGACCAGGCCTAATAACAGACCGGCGCGCCATGACCTCTTTGGTTTAATGCTTTAAAGTCTGTAATTGCTGAAACTGGCAGCTTGTTAATAATGTAACATCATGAGCCCTAAAACATCAACACATTTCTTCCTCTGTGCTAATTCTGACCACTGTGGGAGATCATTCCTGCTGGTTTACATGCTGCTGTTTCATCAGTTACAAACTGTGTATTTAAATATAAACTAGGCAAAACTATATTGCACCATGAGAAAACAATATCATGAAGTGAAAATCTACTAAATCAACATTGTGTTTAACGGGGAAATAAAACCAATTTTCCATTTCTCAAATTTACGGACAGTCCTTTGTGCCCCGATTTTAAATGAAATGCTTGAAATTGAACATCTTATAAACAGGTTAAATAAATGTACTAGTCATCTCCTATTTTTTTCCAAGTATATCACAAATTATAAATGGTTTCAACAGTTTTGCATACAGACAACAATACAATTAATATTTAATCTGTAAAATCACATGAAGATCACCAACCAAACACAAGAGGAACACAAACATCCATACATTAAATGCAGGGAAGAAATAATACTTTCAAGAGCATATATTCATCATAACTAAACATATTTACACACCTCTGTACGATCAAACTCTTACAGTGACATTTCTCAGCTCAGTATAGAGTGTCTCATCCCATTTAAAGTCTATAATGCCTATCCTAATCCATTGAGGAGATCCTTTTCAATTTTGACCTATTCCAGAACCTCAAGAGGATCAAGCTAAGAGGATAATGACGACTAACTTCTCCCAGGCTGAACCACAGGCCCTGAATTTGTCCCTATGAATGTAATGGAATACACAGCTGTTGTGGTCAGCAAGCAGCTGCCATCTGTGACTTCCTTCATTTGGAAAGTGGAAGGTGCAGGTGTAGGAAACTGAATTTCACTTGGGAGCATCATGCTTTCAGGGACAGTCAAACAGGAAGCTTTTCCATATGTTATGGGTTTTGGCTGTGGTATGTTCTCCAGTCACATCTTCTTCACCTCTGTATGACGAATGTGCATCCTGTCACAGAAGTCTGATTTAGAAACAGTGTTAATACTAACCAAGAGGACTTGATCAATATCATTTGTGCTATACTGGGAATATAAATGAGTCAATAAAATCCTATTATTCACCAAGTCTCTTTTGGTTTGTATTTGCTGATATTCTGTCTCTTCACGTTTGGAAAAATGAGCCATTGGCCTCTCTAAAGCATTGTTATTGTCTTGATCTTCACATTACTCTAGTGCAAAAATTCCAGTGGTCTTAGCAGTAGAGCAATGATCAGATTACTGGAAAAGTCATTTGTTTCATGACCTCAGCTTGTTTTCTTCAGTGATTCAGTCTCTTGTACATTGCTCCATCATCCTATTGTAAACACTGATTCCTTAATACATGAACGTTTGGTTATGACACACTGTTTCAGCATTATGGGACTATGAAGCCTCACAACGTACTGCACAGTACCGGCACAGCCTTTGTACCTTCCATATCATATCTCCATCATCGCTGGCTGCTTCTTCCCTTAGTTCATCTGGTGCCAATGTTCTTATACTGGCACATGAGCAGGTTTTTGAAGGTCTTTTTGAAGGTGGCGTTACAGAGTGCATAGCAAGCGGGGTTGATGGTACTGTTGACGTAGCAGAGCCAGTAGCCAATGGCCCAGACTGTGTCTGGAACGCACGACTGGCAGAACGTGCTGATTAAAACCATCACATTGTATGGCGTCCATGTGATAATGAAGGCCAGCAGGATGGCAAAGATTGTCTTTGTCACTTTCTTCTCTCGTGCTGCCATCTGCCTTTTCCTCTTCACCTGGCTGCGGGCGATGCTGGCAAACTTGCGTGCCACTGTGCGGGGACGGTTCACAGGGATGGAGCGCTTCTCGCCGGTACTGTTTGGTGGGACGATCTCGATGGCTGTGATACATTCGTCTCCCGCTTGTTTGGTGACTATCTTGATCTTGGACCATTTGGATTGAGGGTTGAGTTTAGGTACGGCAGTGGGCACGGGTGTCAAGCCGGCCTCTGAAGTCGCCTCACTTTTCGCTCGTTCTTTAAGCTCTTTAGGCGCTATGCTGGCTGTGCTGGAGTCGTTCGAGCTCTCCTTCTCCTCCGGCTGCACGCAGGAGTCCGCTTTAGCGGACACCACAGACTCGTCTAGTTTGCCATTCTTCATGGTGTCCACCGTAGAACAGGTATCCAGGCTAGGTTTAGGAGGAGACTGGTTGTTGTTGTTCTGCTTCAAGATGTGACTCTTGAGCAGACCACTAGATTTCTGGCCTTTCTTCTCCTTTTCCTCAGGGTTCTGCTTGGACACACGGCTGCGGCTGGCCAGAGAGATGTGCACATAAAGCACCGTCATGATGACCACTGGCAGGTAGAAGGCAGCGATGGCCGTGCCAAACGTGACAGCGGGGTTGGAAAGGAACTGGATGTAACATTCACCAGGTGCTACGGTTCGTGCTCCGACAATGAACTGCCAGAACAGGATAGCGGGAGCCCACAGGATGAATGACAGGATCCAGGCGGAGGCGATCATGAGGCCGGCCATCTTGGTGGTTCTGCGTGTGGGATAACTCAGGGGTTTGGTCACACAGAAGTATCGGTCGAAGCTGATGATTAACAGGTTCATGACTGAAGCGTTGCTGACCACATAATCCAGTGCGAGCCACAGGTCACACACAACAGGGCCAAGTGGCCAGTAGCCCTTGATGATGTAAACGGTGTAAAGGTTCATGGAGAACACACCGATGATGAGATCTGCACAGGCCAGGCTGAAGAGGAAGTAGTTGTTGACGGTCTGTAGGTGTCGATTGACCTTGATTGAGAGCATGACGAGGATGTTGCCCACAACGGTGACAAAACTGAGGGATCCTGTAACCAGTGCAATGAAGACCATCTCCACCGTTTTGTGCGGGCTGTCACCGTCCGCCTCAACCGCTGCACACAAGCCATTGGTGCTGCTGCTGTCACAAGTGAAGTTGGCATCACTGGATTCGTTGCTCAATGAGCCTGAAATACACACACAACACACAGACAATGTTATAAATGACAAAAATTAGAGATGCACCGATCGATCGGCCAGGGATCGGAATCGGCTGATTTTCCTCATGATCGGCCCGGATCGGTGACTGGCCGATCAGTCTCACTTCTTTCAGATTCTGAGCCAATCCGTTTTGTTACCAGCGGGCAGTGGCACAGGCAATAACGTCAGCCACGCATTCTCGCTCTCTTCTCTCCGACAACCCCTTCTCTCTCACACACGTCTCATTTGCTCCAGTTAAATAGTGCTTGTATTGCACATTATTTTAGTCATTCCCGCAAGTTTCACGCTTATACCAAGCGCACGTGCACCACCACTGATCTATATTAGTGGAGCGCACAATCCGCGTTCAGTCTCAAACAGCTTGTGAGCCACAAATACCAAAATGAGTGACTAACTGCGCTAAAACGTTCAAATACATAAAAAATTATGTCAAAATGCCCATCTTGGCGAGTATCCAGTTAAACACAGTCAGTTTCGGAACGTTAAATAGTTGAGAAAGAGAACGCATGTTGTGTAACAGTATATTGGGTCCGTGGATAAACTCTTAAAGGGACCGCAGTCCAATATTCCTGCTGCTGTCTGTCATGTTAATCAAAGAACAAAAGACAAAGAAAATCACTTTCTGCTCTTGACTCCATGCGTTTTATAACTTTAATGGTAAGCATTAATCTGTATTTAATTTTTACAATGAAGACTACGGAAATTAAAGTAATCAAATGTAAAATAACACTGGATGTGTTATTTTACATTTGATCACTTTAATTTCTGTAGTATTTCTTACCTGAATAAAAACTTAATTAACCTGAAAAACTTTTTCTGAAAGAAGTTTCATAGCTCTCTTTATTCTATTGCATTTATTTGTGCTGTTGTTTGCAATTTTTGTATTTGTTCTTATTTTATTACTGACTTTTTACTTTTTTTATGAAAATAAAACTTTGTGTTGAAGAAAAGTATATTTTTGTTTGTATAGGCTGTCAATTATAGTTCTTAAAAAGAAAATCGGCAAAAATCGGTATCGGCAGATCACACTGACAAACAAATCGGAAATCGGAATCAGCCAAGAAAATTGCAATCGGTGCATCCCTAACAAAAATAATAAATGACGCTTAGTTTCTGGCAATACTGTCAGCTTGATTGCACAGACACTTGATTGGAAGAGAGCTGAACTGGATGAAGACACACCTGAATCATCAATGAACTGACTTTAACTGAAAAAATTGACTTTGTTATTGTCCTCCTGCATTATTGACAAACTTTTTTCTGTTTAACACTGTAAAGCCTCGTACACACCGGGACGATTATCGCGCGCGCTTATCGTCGACGTTTTTCGACGCGTCTTTTGTGTTCATACCCAAGCGATTTTCGCAGGTGATTGCCGAGTGAACGTGCAAATTCACTCCCTGACATTAGATAGCGCTTAATGAAAAACAGAAATACCCCGGTACACATCGAATCCTATTTGATCTGCAATTCCTCTCCATAACAACTCCCTCTTATTGAGATTTTTGTAGTCGCTGTCGGGTTTGTCATAAAGCCCTTTGTGTTCAGACACCAATGAGACCAGCAGCTCTACATTCATCTTGCCTCGATGCATCTTCTTGGTCTACTTACTTCCTCTTCGTCGTTAGGTATCAGTGTGTGCTCGGCAAGACCGTTGTGTGCTTGAGCGCTACCTGAACGCCCTGAACAAGCCTTAAAGCTGCTTTGACACAACCTGTATTGTATAAAGCGCTATATAAATAAAGGTGACTTGACTTGACAAAAATAAAGATTTAAGAATGTGTGGATGCAATCACTGAAACTAATCATAGACTGATAAAAATATAAGCAGTGGGGAAACAGCATTCATTATGATGCATACTACTGCAGAGCATTCATTTGCATCTTGAAATATAAATATGCTGTTTATATTAAAAGGAAGAGTCCCAGTTCTCCGTGACTTTTGTAATCATGCCCAGGGGCGGACTGGCCATCGGGAGCACCGGGACATTTCCCGGTGGCCTGATGGTCATTCTGGCCTGCCGGCTGCCGCTGTGCAGTCGATCAGGCTGACGTGCAATAGGCTGGTATGCAACTGCGAATTAATTGACGGACTTATGAATCTACGAATCAGGCGATCGCGGAGTGAAAATGACACCACCACATGACCCAACATCAGCGAAGCACTGCCTAATTGGCTATATCCAGAGGCAGGCTTTATCATAGAAAATTGTGCAAAAAATGGAGCGTAAACGCAAAGGAGGAGCAGAGAGGGAACGTATAAAAAGGAGAAAAGCCCTGGCCACAGACGCAGCAAGTTGCTGCAAAATCACAGAAGTCTTGGTGTAATCGGTGAAACACTCTGGTGGGCTAAAGATGAGGCCTTGAGGAAAGTATTTGAAAGGTTTGCAAAGCCTGACCATGCACTTTACACAGATCTGGTCATCACTATGGAAAAATTTGAAAAGGATGTGACCATGAAACCTGTCATCCGAAATAAGGCCCAAGGGTACAAGGCTGCTCTCCTAAAGTATGAAACCATACTGACAGCTGAGATTTTCCTCAGGATTTTTGAGCGGACAACCCCTCTTAGTAATTATTTACAAACAAGTGGCATGGATTTTGCTTCAGCACAGCACTTGGTGACAGGAACAGAGGATAGCTTGAGAAAGTGTGCCCGGGACTTTGAGGGTGTGAAGAGGGCAGCAGATGACTTTGTTGAATGGGCCAATGGCATTCTGGAGAAGCTTCAGGACATGGCCTGGGGTGGAGTCAAATTCCCGGCCTGATTTACTGTCCCAGTCCGCCACTGATCGTGCCCATATGGAAAGAAATAAATCAAGGAAGAAAATCCTTTGGGACACCATTGTACATTTGTCCCAGCTGGCAAGAAATCACTTATAGCTGTTACAGTTATCATGAAACATACAGCCCTATACATCGCAGTCTAATTTACTTTTTTTCTTGCAGTTTTCTGGAATCAAACATTAATTCAAACAATTTCTTCTTCTTGAACAGTATTAATCACAGTCTGGTGTAGTGAAGTACTGTAATGGCATTATGTTGAATTCAGGTGTCAGACTTTGAATAATCCCTACAAAATAACGAAATGCTTTGATTAAAATAATATAAAATTGTATATTTCTAAATAATAAAATATTAACATTTTTATATATATATATATATATACACACACACACGCACACACACACACACACACACACACACACATATATATATATATATATATATATATATATATATATATGCACTTTATATTCTATTTCCATTCTATCTACTTGTTTTCTTTTATTATAACAAATTTGACCATCTAACACACTCTCTATTAACACACTCTTCCCTTGGATTTGTGTTCTAGCTACGTTTCTTTTATTATATAAAAAAAACTTGACCCTCTAACACTAGCTCTATCTATTTCTTTTCTATCTACTTTTTATTCTTTTTACTAATTAAAAAAACCTTACTACGTGTACTGCGTTAGAGTAACCAGGACTTATATATTGTTGCTCTTTTGTTGGTTTGATTGCTTCAGTTGTCCTCATTTGTAAGTTGCTTTAGATAAAAGCATCTTCTAAATGATTAAATGTTAAAGTATATATGTATATGTATAAAATGTATCTAAACATTGGCACTAACGTGACGAAAGAATAGTCATTAGGTCATTAGGGTCAAACAACACTGTACTGTTATATATGCTCCTAAATCTTTATACAAATAGTTATTGTACTAGATCTCAATCGTACATTCAGTTTAAAAGTTCCTAAAGTATGAATTTGGTAAATGTGCTTTCTCTTTTTATTCCCCTTGGACTTGGAATGATCTGAAAACTGTAGTTAAACTAGAGACACTGCCATCCTTGAGTAGTTTTAAATGTCTTTTGCAAACTGCTTTAAAGGAATCTTGTTAGCGTTTTTCCTGATCTTATTTTGCTTAATTGCTGAGTGTGAGTATTGTGTTTTTATGTCAAAGGATTGATGTGCTGCCGTCTTGACCAGGTCTCCCTGGAAGAAGAGATTGTGAAGTCTCAATTCTGTCAATGGGATTTTCCTGGCTAAATAAAGGATAAATAAATAAATAAATGTAATGTATTCAAAATGAGTTTTGTTCAGTGTTATTATTAAATACAAACCAGACATTTTCTATAATTTATTATGAAATATTTGGTAACAGTAAGGTTCACTTTATTAAAATTAGAAAAACATTAAAACATTAATGTATGATACTTTTTTCAACATATATTTTTTTAATTGTATAAATTAACAATGTATTAAGAACAAACAATGAATAATGATAATTAACAATGAATTAATGGTATATTTACAAAATAACATGAACCTAGATACAAGTTGTAAAAATGACTGCTCATTGTTAGTTCATGACACCTAATGCACTAATTGAAGCTTATTGTAAAGTGTTACCAACTAATTACTGATCTACGCATTTTTTGTTGAAATCTGACAGTGTGAGAGCATTTAGCCATCGGGTTAGCAATCTCAGGTGAAAAGAAGATTGATTGAATCCTCATGATTAATAACATAAAATGAATATTTATATTGCTTCCTTTATCATAGATATACAAGTAAGGATCTTGTTTTATGAAATATTGAGGGTTTTGGCATGCCATTTGAGAATGTGGGCTGCTTTTCTAGAGGTTTCGTCATGATGCATGCTGCATGCTAAACTTTTATGAGAGACAGTGCAGGACACCCTGCACTTCCATATAAAAAGGCAAGTAAAAAAATGCATAAATGACTCATTGAATGCATAAATGTGAGAAGGTTTTGGTTTCAGGTCATGAATGATCTATCACCTTCATGTATACTTCTAAGAAGCTGTTGTCATACTGAAAGTATTAATCCATTGTGTAAAAACCTATTTAAAGCAACTCAAGTCGACACTAAATGCACAAAATACACTAAAGCAAGTGCATCAGAACAAACACAAATATCTTTAAGTGTTTTAAAGA